TATGTTTCCCTTCATAAGAAACTAAGCTCCATGAGAACAGGCACTCTCTCTGTGTTTAACACTGAATCTCCCCAGAAACTGTAGAGCATCTGGCATATAACAGGTGGGCAATAAACATTTGTTGGATAAAACCATAATTTTTTATTCAAAATTGAACTTCTTCAATTTTTAATGTACAGTGGCAATGAAAATATTTTAAGCCATTATAGGTTGTGAATTTTAAAAATCTGGAAATATCTCCTGAGTATATGTGAGAAAGAAGATGGGTTCCAGTACCACTTTTTAAAATCATTTATCTTACCTCTCTTGTATTACTTAGGCTTTCACAATGCTGTCGATACGAGGTTGAGATTCATAAAGAAAGAGAAGGACATTCTATGCTTTAAATTTAAATTTCATTATAAAAAGATCTATCATAACTTCCAACTGTGAAAATAGAAAAATGTACCTTTCAAACAAAAACAAAAACACCATTTTATATTGAGTTACATAGGCACAAATAATACACACTAGTATCAGAAAGACTTTGCACTTATTAGATTAATATGTGTTATTGCCTATGGCAGAATCAAAGTAAGAATTAATTATTATACTTATGATGTGCATGATAACTGGCAATGTAAAATAATGCAAATAAGACACTACGACTGAGGAATTGTTCAGGTTACAGATTTTATGGATTTTCTTCTCTCAAAGTTCTTTTCTATTGCTTTTGAAAGAAATAAAAAATAATTTGAATCGACTTTTAATGTCTATATTTCATCTTTAGTTTTCTAACATCCAACTCTGAATTAGTAACTCTTCATTTCATTCTGATATTATAACAGTAACATAGTAATTTAATGTAGATGCTACAACCGTTTTTTTTTTCCTTAGCTCAGATTGCACTTATCATTGTAGGATGGACACAAAGTCATTCATGAAAAGGGTTTGTTATCTTTCTGTTAATGACATTATCTTTCCCAACCTGACTTTTAAGGGCCATCTTTAGGCTTGTTTTTCTTGCACTCCAAATTGAACTGCCTGTTTTACCCAAACGCACGGGGCTTGCCCTCCCATCCCTGGTTCTGCTCTCCTGCTGCTGGGACCAACCACCCTTCTTCTTGCCTCTGTCTTCTGTAATTCTGAAATTACCATAGACCCAATTCAAACATCAAATTACTCATTCTTTGACTAGTACGTAGTCACTAGTTAATCTCTTTCTTGTTTGTTTATTACTTTCTTTACTGTCTCTTTCCCCCTCACAAAATCAGGACCTTTTCTTGTTCACTGCAATCCCAGAGCCAGAAACAGTGCCTAGCATGTAGTAAGTACATTGCATGAGCAGACACATTAATTACCAAAACAACCTAAGGATAAAATAAATAGAGTAAGATTCTCTATTTTTTAAAAACCCACAAACTTTTATGTTCCAAGATATAGGCTGGCACTTCATCTTAATCTAGTGCTATTTTGACAAAGCTGTGAGAATTAAGAAAGATAAAGTGATATTTTGAATCAGTGAAGGATGATTTCTAACACTAAAGGCTGAAAGAATTCCAGTTTGAAGGTGCTATTTTTCTCACATGGAACTGTACTTATTATACTCCATTTATAATCTAACTAAACACAGATTCTTGGTATGCTAATGCTTTATGAAAACCCTCTCTTGATTTTGTCACATAATTAAAAAAGACTCAATTAAGGGAAACAGATCTTAATGTAGCTTTGAATAATTTTTTTAACAAGAAGAGATTTTTATATTCAAAGTAGGCAGTCATTTCAATGTTAACCTATATATGTCCATAAAATGGAACCAGAATCATAGTCTTTTTCTGCTTTGACTTTATTTTCTCTATGTATTCCTTTTCTTTTCAATACATTTCAAACATAACAAAAAAGAGAAAGGATACAGCTACATATCTGGAACTCTGAAATAGAATGCTAAAATCACTAAATCTTCCAAAGTACAAAATGAAGTCTACTTCTTAATTAATAGCGCAAGCACTACTACACAGGTGTTACTCTTCTTAAGCAAATTGCTTAACCTCCTAGTCTCAGTTTGCTTATCTATAAAATGAAATAACGATACCTACTTTTTCTGGGCTGAAAACAGAAGAGAAGGGAAAACAACCTAGCACCAACCCAGGCACATAAAAACTGCTTTGTAAGCATATATTGAATCGACTGATTCCATTAAAAATACAGGTGCCAATGAACTAAACCACTGTGTATTATTTAATGAGAAATTTTAGTGACTGTGTAACTGAATAGCTAAAAGTATAATCCCAGGTGTTTTAACAATTCTCTGATTAATACACAATCAACAAAGCGACACACACATTAGTGGATCAAGCATATTGACCTTGACACCTAATGGACGTCACAGGAGTGATACAGGTGATTATTTGAGAAACCTAAGTGTGGGCACCTCTATCCAAGCAACAGCAGAGATTACGAACATTTCATTCTGTCTCTGCAGGTCTCAAATGTATAGAAATTCATACATGCTACTGGAGAGACAGTAGTTATTCAAATTTCATAAAAAACAAATTCTGACAGATAATGAATTATTATTCATTTTCTACATATGTGTAATAAGCTAAAGGCATTGAAGTTGATGCTTTTAGAAATAATAACCAATGACTACATAGTGATTTATGCTTCCTTTTGCTTTCTCTTTCAATCTTTATAAAAACCCTACAGAGTTAATGCAGAAAAAATGATAAAGAAAAATTTCAATTAGGGACCTCGAGGCATAAATCTAGAAACATGTTATTAAATGTCTGCTGTTGGGAGTACATCAGGAAACAAAAAGATACAAGCCTACCTTCATGGACCTCACAATGTCAGATTTCTTGTGAAATAGGTACAATTATGGCTTTTAGAGTTATGAGTGAAGCTGCTTAAATACGTAGTAAAAATAAAACGTGTTCTTAAAAGAGCTACATTAGTGCCCAAGGGATTTGTATGTTCTTTCCATTCTCAACTATTGAATGAGTTCAATATTTTGTGCATAACCTTGAAACATACTCTGTTTTTATTATGCACAATTCAACTTATTTCTGTGATTTAGAGCAGGAGTGTCAAACTCATTTTCATTGGGGGCCACATCAGTCTTGCAGTTGCCTTCAAAGGGCCAAAATAATGTTAGGAGTGTATAAATGTAACTACTCCTTAACTGTTAAGGAGGTGAAACTACATCCAGCCCTTTGAAAGCAACTTCGAGGCTTATGTGGCTCCCGGTGAAAATGAGTTTGACGCCCCTGATTAGAGGATGGGAATAATGATAAGTGGAATTGTTGCTTCTTCCTCACTCCCACAACACTTCCTGTCTCTGGTGCTCAGAGCACTTCCGCTGGGAATTCTCCCAGCTTGCTCCCTTGTCTCCCATCCTGGAGGGAGCACTGGCCAGGGCCAGGGCCAGAACTCTTTAATCTCCGCAAGCCCAGCACCTAGCAGAGTGCTTGCCGCACAGTTCAGATGGGATGCACGTTTGTTGTATAAATAAATTTGTGTATACCTTACTGTTTTCAAAGCATATTTAGAACCTCATAAAACTCAGAAGACTGTGGGGTAAAATTAGTTTCTTCATTTTACAGACTCTTAGTAAGAGTGAAGATTATTCCCTTGTTTGATAGGTGGGCAAACTGGGGATCTGTGAGAAATTACATGATTTCTAAAGAGCACATAACTAAGACTTGAATTTCAAGATCAGGTTCTTTCTAATACATTCAGTGAAAATATAGGTATATTGAACTACTGTTTTAGAGGTGCCTTTAGGATTCATTGGATGTTTTGGCCAATCATCTCACTTTCTCCAATCATTGGTGAAATCTTGCTTCCTTTTTTAAAAGTGTAGACCATAGATGAAAAAGATCTCTAGGAATCCATATTGTGATCAGAAGACAATGACACAGATCATACCCCAATATTTAGCTATAAAACAGGATACATTGCTAGCCAAACCAATTCTGCTCTGTCATAGGGAAGTGGAGGCAGCTTTGCCCTTTACGATCCTAAACCCACGATCGTGACCATTCTGCTTATACGGTTTTGCCATATACTCCTTAATTTCTTCATCAGGAAACAAGTCCCTACAGTGGCAAGATAGAGAAAGCAATTAAAGGAGTCATGGCCAATATCTGAAGATTCTGGTAACTGAATCCTGATTAACTGACTCTAAAGTCACCCTTTTAATAACATCAGGCCCCACTAGACTGGTAAACTGCGGGAAAGAAGGAACTGTACTGAATTCCTAAGTCAGGCCATGGCACATGTTCTGTTACACTTGTAACTCAGTGCCTGACACAGATGTTAAGTGGCAACTCTGAACAACTACCAGCTAAATGCTCTGAAAACGTGCTAGGTACACGTTTTACAAACTTAATAATGGAACTTCTCTCCCTCTTTTAAATTTAAAACCATTTTTAAGAAGTTTGCTCTTAAGGTATAATATGGTCAGGACCCTAATAAAGACCTGGGTGATGGAACCGTGGCCTTAAGTCAGTTAGTTACCTTAAACCTTTGTAAACGTCAACATTCCAAAAAAAAAAAAAAAAAAGCCTTAACAGAAATTAACAGCAACTGTAATTAAATTCCAACATTTCTGAACTAGAAGCATTTTCTCTCCGGGGAATGGGACTACAATTTCTCTTAATCTGAAAAAATTTCCTCTCTCTACTTCCTTCCCTCATGTGGTCTGATCATTTTGTTTGACTGGAAAGTTGAAAGGAAGCAACACACCAGCACCGACACCCGCGTGCAGCGCTCCTCGGGGTGGAACAGCGAAGTTCCCGGGCAGAGCCTCCCTTCCGCAGCCCGTGCTGCGGTCGCTCCCCGCTACCTGCTCAGCTTCCCCCCGCCTCTCACGGTCTGCCCGCAGCGAAACAGTAGCGTCTCCATCTGGCTGCCGACCCACCCAAGCTTTCTTCCCCCCACCGCCGCCACCTTCCCTCCTCCTCCCCCTCCTTCCTCCCTCTCCACCCCCGCCCCCAATCTCCTCCTCTTTTTCTCACTACCAGCGGTTGCTGCTGCTGAAGCCGAGCGTCACTTCGGCTCCCACGGCAGACATGGCGACATTGACAGTGGTCCAGCCGCTCACTCTGGACAGAGGTAAGGGAGCGGCTCTCCCGCCAGGCCACCGCGTCCCCTCTACCTCCCCTTCTGTCCCTGCCAACTGCCACCAGGACAGGCGGACGCGCTCGGGCAGGGGGAGCAGAGCGAGCGAGGACCAGCGAAGAGGGCAGGGCGTTCGCGCCGAGAGGAGATACTTTCTTCCCTTTTCTCTGCCCGCCACGTCCCCGCTGCACTCGCCCGGTCGAGGTGTGCCTTCGCCGGGCTTGGGCAACCTCAGCCGCCACTCCCGGCCCTTCTCCAGGTCGCCTCCGGGCTGCGGGCTTTGTTGGAGCCGACGCGCGGCGACCGCTACGCGCCCGGGGCCGGGGGTTACGGAGGGGCAGGGACGAAGCTCGCCGGGCCGGGCGGGGGCGCCTGCAGCCCAAGACTCGGGGGCTCAGAAAGGAGGAAGTTTGTCCGGCACCGGGGGACGGTGGTCGGTCCGGCGGCGGATGCCCAGGCAGCCACCCCGGGGTAGCGGAGCCCGGGCGCACGGCGGCTGGGCTCCGGCGGCGGGGAGCCACCTTCCGCCGAAGGGCAACGCAGGGCGCGAGCAGCCGAGTCCGGTTCTCCCTGGCTTTGCGCTTCGAAGACGAAGGGGGGTCGTTTTGGCCCCGCTGTCGTGAGCTCTCCGGCTGTTGCAACTCTCAGTTTCCCCGCCCCGGCCACTGTCGTTCTCTTCCACCGGCGCCACTGCGGTGTCCGGGCTGCGGAACGCGCTGGGGCGCAGCGCCGACCGGGTTAAAATTCAACTTCTGACCTGCGACCCAGCGGGTCCCGCTCTGTGACTTACTCGGGAAGCGCTGTTTGCTTCCTCTCCAAGCTTGAGGTCGGGGACCTCCTCTGCGATGCGGGCCTGTCTGCTGCACCTCTGAGGGGTTATACCTGCCCCCGTGTGTTTGGGGTTCTTTTCTGGCTTCGGACGCCCAATTGTGAAGGCGCTGGAGTCCTACGACTCTGCAGCGGAGGACACCTGCTCGTCCCCGTCCGTGGCGGTCGGGTTTAGGACCCCGGACAGCCATTTGGTCATTAATGATGTGTTCAGACGAAAATGATTTAGTTCGAAGTGCCTCTAAAAATATTCTTTATAGCGGATTAAACCGGGCTGTGGGGCAAGGCAAGAGAGCATCCTGCTGCGAGTACATTGAAAAAGCCAGTGAGGTTGTTTTTTAATTTAGAGAGATAGTGGGCGACTTTAACGCAATCTCTTGGCGCCAGACAGATGTTATGTGGTGCTCATAGCAACATTACTTGGAGGTAAGAGTTGAAAAAAACTGATTGATTTTATGTTGGGAAATGTTGGTTTGCAAACTAGTGAATTGATAACAGTGGTTAAAGAACTCAGAAATCTATTGTGTAATCCATGGTTTCACCCAGCATCACCATCTGCACTAAGCAGAATACACCCATTGCCACTAAGAGCCAGATGACAAGCTACGAGAAATTATGGGTTTCCTAAGTATTTTTGTTTTAATGGGATGAACTTTTACATTGTCCCATGACTAAATCAGTCTTTAAATATCACGAGTAAAACAGCTACATTAGGAATAAATAAAGAAATAATCCAAGAAAATTCATGCCTGAGCAATTTTATATACTACTACATACTGAAAATATTTCACTTTTTTGGTTTTACCTTAACCCTTAGATGCCTCCCTCAGTTGTGAAGAGGAAGTGCAATCTACTCTTAAAGTTTGTTCTTGTTCACAGCCAGACTGTACCTGTTCTTCCCAGAGTGATTAGTTTCATGTAGTAATAGCTCAAGAGGCTAGAGAGAAGAGACAGTCATTGTCTCTGAATAAATGCACCAGCAGCTCACTGCAAAGTCTGTCATTTACTGATGATGGTTATTGGCAGCACTGCTGTGCATAAATCATTACATAAAAATATTTTCCCTCTATTAAAATATAATGAATTAATTGTATCATTAAACTGATGAAATAGAGTTCTGAAAAATATCCTCCAAAAAAGGGGGGGAAGTCTCAAACAAAGCCCAGTACTACTTATCTGGGTCCTAGCTGTAACTCTGATACTTCGGACGAGGCAGGTAGTCTGGAGCATCAGGTTTCCTCTGTGCTACTTAAGGAGTTTCGCTTAGGTGATTCTGACACTGTGCAGCTTTAATTTGATTAATGAAAATTAGGACTAGTTTCTGGTCACCTACTGGAAGCATTTCCAGATCAGCCCAGTCTCCCAGCTGGTTCTGATGCCTTTTGATGTTCTCAGAGGTCACCTGCTGTGTTAACCCCATCAGAACATTTCTCACACTCTGTGGCATCTCTCTCCTTGTTGAATCGAGTTCCTTGAGGGAGCTGTATGTATTCTCATCTTTGTCTTCTCAGTGCCTGACGTACTCCCTGGTCCCAGTAGAAAAATCGTGAACCTACCGTTGATAGGTTCACAACAGTTTGGCCCTGGGAAGGATGGCAGTGAGAACACAGGCCAGTAGTTGTTAACCTTTCTTTTTCCCTACATGCTTGACGATTCCCAGCAGTAACCATAGCTCACCAAGACTGTGATTATTAACTAAGGGGGATTGTAGCAGGTGGGCTGAGGAGAGGAAGGAAAGATGTTGGACGAAAACCCCCTTGGACATCTAAGCAAATCTGAATATTAATATATAATTTGAGAGCAAGTTCTTTTTGTAGCATCTTAGTCAAGACTTCAGATGAACTTTATGGAAGCCTCTGGGTGACTGTAGGCAGAGTAGTTTCCTATTTGTTCAGATCCCAGTCCTGGGGATTTCATTTATTTATTGTGTGCCTACTATGTGTGAGATACTACTGTGGGACTGGTATACATTGGTAAGCTGAACATACATAATTCTAGTCTTTGTGGTAATTAGAGTCTACCTGGAAAGAAGTCTAAACACAAACACATACACACAGAAACCATTCATTCCTTAATTATTTATTTATCACCTACTATATACAACATGCTATAGAAATGCCAGAACCAATTTTCCTACTTTTATGGCCCTTAAGAGTCTAGTGGGTACTAGTAAGGAATTAATGAGTTCAACAAATAAGTATTGAGTGACAGCCTATGGCAAGCACCGTTTTAAGCAACGTGGCAGTACTAATGAACAAAATACATTGTCTACTGGAGTTTACATGCTAAGAGAGAGGCTCACACTACACACATACATATCCAACTGTAAGTGCTAGTGTGAAAAGTAAGACTGCATCAAGGAAAGTAACGGGGGCTACTGTTTGAAATATGATAGTCAAAGGTGGCCCTCTGGTTTGGTGACACTGGAGAAGAGACCTGAAGCACCTTAGGAAGCAGACTTTGCAGATGTGCTCAGGAGACAACCTCCATGTACATCCTGCAACCATCAGAGAAATTGGCTTGAAGAGAGCACAAGGGAAAGTCATAGGAACTGGGATGTAAGAAATTGATAGCTAAGGGCTAGATGATGCAACTTATACAAAGCATTTAGATTAGTTGAAAACCGGAAGTGCATGTAAGATAAGAAAGGTGACTCTAGGACAGAGGAGAATAGGGAAGGACTGATTTAGATAGTGTTGGTCAAAGAAGGCTCACTGAGGAAGCAAAATTAAACAGTTCTGCTGTATTAATGAGATCCGTAGGAAAAAAGTATTCTGCCTAGAGGGAAAAATACACATAAAAGCAGTTCCACATGTACAACTCACCTACCATCTGCTTAATACATCTATACCAATGCAAATGAAAAAAATTACCAAGAAACAATAACACTCCAACTAATCTATCCTGGGTTAGAAATTTGGTTATTAAACATACCAAGAAAATCTGCAGATCAGCTTGTTGCTTCTTTTTCCTAGGCTAAAACATTATATATTATACTTAGATTTTCAAAGATATAGTGAGTGCTGTAATTTACATATCACTATGCATGAATTTACTTATTGAATCCCACAGGTAATAGTAGGAGAGATAGTCATTTTCAGTCTAATATTTCATGTTAGACAGTAATGTAGAAAGTAGCACATGAAAGTACCATTGTGGCAAAGAGAAGATGCTGATAAGGAGATTAGTGTGGATTCTTCAATTCCAGAATTTAAAATGTTCACAGTGATTCTTCCCTCCAGCAGTGGTTAGTTTGCCCAGGTTTTAGTCTCTAAAATCAGAAATGACCTTCAGTTAAACTCCAGGGACCAAAGCAGGGTACAATCTATGACACTTAGCACCTTCATAACAAAGAACACAGGAGTACTTCATGATGTAGGAGACTTCATGGATTTAGGCACTTTCTTGAGTCCAGTAGCTCCAAACCTCCTTCACTTTCTAGCTCAAGGTCAGAAAAACATAATAGAGAATTCCTCAAAATTTTACTTCCTCTAGCATTTCCCTTAAACTTTAAGCAGACTGGCTTTTAAAAAAATGGCTTATAAAGAAATAATGCAAAACCAATTCTTGGAGAAAATGGATAATTAAAATAATTTCTAGGAGTAATTAATATTTTATCTTAAATATTTGAGACTTTGCTTATGAAATGATCAGTAGCTTACAATCTGTATTTGGTGCTTACATAAAACAAATTGTTAGTGTCAACAGTTATCCAACTTTTCTGTGAATTGAAGTCAGGTTTCATAATTTGCATAAGTGTGAAAAGCTCCATAAATGGATCTTGATTTTTTTTAGCTCCAAAATGTCCTAAATTAAAATGTTGATTAAGTAACTTTTGATGTGTTTCCCCTTTTTAAAAAATACAACTTTTGTTCCTTAAAATTTTTAATCTAAAACCAAAGCTTTTATTGTATAGATTTCAACCTTATGGAAAAGAAATAACATGAGAGCAAAAATTGAATGCAAATGCAAATCCCATGGTGCCACCCTTTTCATAGAATTTGTGATACATTAAAAATTTTCTCTCTTCCCTTTTCACTTTTCGAGACATGCAGAGCTCATTACTTTATGTATCTGCAAATTCAAGCCTTGGGCAGCCCATAGGTTTTCTAATAAGCTGTATTCACCAGTTCTTATAAAATCTGTATTTGCCTGAAAATTGGTTTTACTCACATTCCAAAAAGCCTCATTCATCTCTCCTCTTTATATTTATACATAAAACGAGGAGAGTTTAAGGAAGAAGGAAAGTAGAAATTAAGCTAGTTGTTACGTTGTTTAAAGATGTGCCCCTTGGTGATGGTGACGGGCAGGAAAGGGAATGATTTCACTTTACGGCTCCTGTCCTAAAGCCTCTCACACCCGCAGCCAGACATATTTTAGTTCACCAACATTAAGTGCTTGCTTGCTTTCTCATGTTTTCTCTAGGAATCAGTGAACATTAAACAAGTCAATATTTGAGTTTTTCCCTTTGCACTTCCAGAGCATTTTCGAGAAGTCAGAGTTCTGTCACATTTACCTGTCTTTTTCTGTCTTTGATAATAAAAAATTGGAAAGAGAAGGACCCAAATTTCCAAAGACTTTTGATTATTTTTTTAAAAAGTTATTTTACATTTAATGAGAGCCTTATAACGCAGTTTTGAAACCGAGAAATTTAATGATAGACCTTCCAGAAAAAGAAAAATAAATTGAGTGAATGAATACCTTCTAATTTGTGTCAGCCATCCAAGGCCTGAGATGGATTTGGTGTGGTCTGGTGATTTATGAAATTAATGCTTTTGCTTTTGGAGTGCTTTTTCAGGGATCACAGCTAGGGCTTAGCTTTTTAGTATGAATAAAGGACCATTTACTGAGTATTACCAAGTGAGAAGATGCATGCTGGATATTAGGGATTGTATTACAGGTGCAAAACCAGTACCTCTCACAGCTCTTTTTTTTTTTTTAAGCCTTGATATCTTTCTACTAGGGTGTAGTTTTCATTAGGTTAGAGAGGTAGAGCCCAACACGGTGTTTGGCATATAGCTGGCAAACTTGACAATTTGTTCATTGGCTGAATGAATGAAAGAAATTAATTCTAGCTGGACCTAGGATCCTGAGATTTATTCTTAATGGGAAAAAACCCAGAATACCTTTTAACCTTGCAACCGTGCAAAAGCAGTGGCTATCTTTGGCTATCACTTTGCCTCTGTGGGTG